GATTCTTCTAAATGTGTTGAATGTATTTTCTCTGCAGACCTGCACTGGTTGAAAGTGGTTGCTTCTTGCATTGGGAGAATGGGAATTACAATGGCYTTTGAAATGGTTTGCTTTGTGAACACTGAACTGTATCCAACCTACATCAGGTAGGTCCATCCTCTCCCCAGCTGGCATTCAGCCTGGAAACAAATAGTTGAGGCTGGAATGTCTGTTAKGTTTTATGCTAAATTAAGTTATCCTCAAAGGTGTCAGAATGACACATGCGCTATTGAACACAAAGTAGGTGAAGAACAATTAAAGTGCTTTAAAAAGGTACATTGATAAAGAAAGAAATGTACATTTAGACAAGGAGAGATGTACTTTTAGACAAGGGAAAACTCACATGAACGAAATAAAGGGAAAAGCTGGGAGAACCRCGGAGGGTGAGGGGGCTGAAGTCCCACAGAGTGCCTGGGTTTGTCCTGTGCCAGGGTGAGAGTTGTGACCCATCCCCTGCCAACTGCAGCACTCTGATGCTAACATGATCCCTTTGCTGCCGCACCAGGAATCTCGGGGTGATGGTTTGCTCCTCCTTGTGTGATATTGGCGGAGTCATCGTCCCGTTCATTGTCTACAGACTGGTGGAAATCTGGCACGATCTGCCGCTGATTGTTTTCAGTAAGTGCCACCTTCCCTCCCTGCCGGCCACTCCCGGGGGCAGCAGGGGGACCCAAGTTCCAAAGGGCAGGAAGAGCCACCGAGAGCAGCAGAAGCCCCTTGCTCTTCACAAGGCCTTAGCCTTCAGTGGATGACAAACTGGAACTTGTTATTCATGTCWCCCTTGCCCCTATGACTTGCATTTGAAAAGAAGGTAGAGTCGAACATGTTTGACAGATGGCAAAAAGCTGACAAAAATTTTGWTGAGGTTAATATTTGATGGATTAGTGCTGAGAAAAATTTTGATGAGATTAATATCTGATGGATTTAAAGGTGATTTACTGCCCCTTCATTATATTTCTCTCTCCAGCAGTCAAACCCTCGAATTTCACGTAATCACCTATTTAATTGAGTACAAGTATGGCTGTTATGCTTCAGCTTTTCTGACAGTCTGTTAACTGGCTCTTCTCCAGCTATTTGGAAAGTGGCTGGTAAATAAATGCAAGATAAGTTTTGCAGTCTAGTGACCTAAACTCTCAGGTCACGGCCTGCAACACWTTTATGAATCTTTAGATCAGCACATTATTTATAGAAAAATACTTTGAATAGCAATATGCAGATTTTAACAGACAAGACATTCAGAGGGGTGCTTACTAGATTTAAAATATATATATGCCAAACATGTACAAACTGGATAAAAGAAATAATCGGTGGAGAAGTTAATCACATTGTTTAGGAGATAATACATTCTGTATACATTTTTTAGTTTTATGTGAATAGCATAAAAACAGAATGCATTCCCTGGCATGCTCTAGCACTAAAAAGAGTTCTTTCCTTTAGAAAGGAAGGATTTCCCAGTTCAAGGTGTCCTAGTCCAGTGCATAACTCACAAGAGGACTTGGCTTGGTGCTATCACAGGGCAGCCACATCCTCTATTCTTGTACCAGCACGGCAGCTTTGCGTGCAGAGACTTGGGGTGCACTTCTTGTATGAAGAACAAAATCAAGAGCCATTGACAGGTCCTTTCTGTAGAGAGAGGTTGATAAATGCTTACAAGCTCTTTGTGCCTGTTTGCTTTGAAGCTGTTCTTGGTCTGATTGCGGGTGCATTGGTGCTGCTTCTGCCTGAAACTAAAGGAAGAGTTTTGCCTGAGACTGTGGAAGATGTTGAAAACTTTCACAGGTGAGTCATGGTGATGAACTCTCMGCAGATTTCAGTTGCAACTGGGCAAATCCATGTCCAGAGATCATTGGGGAAGCCCAGTGGTACCTTGGCTGCCTTCTCTGGTTCCAAGAAGTTGCTGGTTGATTTCCAGACCCTCACTCGATTGATTCTGGATTCCTTTTACTACACATGTACCTAGACATCTTGAAAATGAGCAGCCTAAGCCTTTACTGGCCWGTGAATAACTGCACTGGTCTCTCAAACGTGCTGCAACACCATTATAAATGGTATTTGTGTTAAAAAAAAAAACCAAAACAAAACAAAAAAAACCCAACACATTAACAATTGAACAGAAAAAGGGCAGTCTTGGTAGCCACTTCACGTGTGGTGTGTGAAGCACCAGAGGAATCTTGTAGGAATATGTGATCATATTCTTGGTGCCAAGGCAGAGCAGGTGAAGGGCTCGAAGGTAGGTGCTCACTTGACACCTTCATTCCTGGTTAATGTTCATGTCTTGTTACTCTTGCAGGCAAAGTGCTCCAAAATCCAAACAAATCTATCTCCATGTCCAAGGATCAGAAGCAGCACGTGGCTGAAGAAGGCACAGCTCTTGCTGGGCACCTGCTTTAGGGGCAGGGGCACCAAAATGCCAGTTGGAATAAACACCCTCTCAGAAGTCTTGCCTCTCTTATCTCAATTTCTCTGCATATCCTTTACTCACRATGTTCAGGGTTTTCTGATGGGATAGTCCCTATTACTGCATAGCTGCTTCCCCCTCTGTACACTAGGAGAAATATATTTTGGGGCTGGGAAATTTTTGTACCAGCTGTGTATGTAGACTTCCAATGTAGACTTYGAGAGATCTTTACTTGACTATGATGGGATCCATCCCAACAAAACTTTGTAAGCTTCCATGAAGTCTGACATTGTTGGTTTTTCTTGTGAAGGGGCAGCACAAGAAAACAGATTTCTCTGGTGGAGAATCAAGGTTCAAACCTGGTTGAGCTGTGACAACTTGCACAGACTTTTTGTAAAAATTGTTTTTATTTTCTCCTATTTTATGGCTACTCACAAGGATGGGCATGTGGCAACTCCAGAGCATGAAAAAGAGTGCAAAGGAGAAAGATTCATAATCCTTCATAAGATAATAGCATTATATGYGTGCCCTGCAGAGGCATTCCTTTGGAGTGAGCTGGGATCAGGCTTGGGGACCCGCAGGACCCTGACCAAGGAGCATCAGAGACAGCAGTGGGTCTTCCAGGAAATATCCAGCACCTTCACACATTTCCTTGTCCATCCCAGACCTGTGGCTGTAGGGCAAACAGGGACAGTGGTTCTGTGGCTCCCCTTCGCTGTTTGTGTCGCTGGTCCCAGTCACTGCTGGGAAACACTGTTTTTCCATAGGGATACTGGGAGCAGGGTACCAGATACAATCAGCTGCAGGGAGAGAGCTCCCAGCTGAGAAAGGGTCTGCTGCACTCTCACAGGGTGAAATTCCCCCAGGATTGCMTCCCAGTGACCTTGCACCTGCTTTCAGCTGTCCTGAGCCCCAGTTAATGTTCAGTGTYGCTGTGAGACCTCCAAGGCAGGGAAGCGTGTTGTCCAGCGAGGCAGGACCCCATGGCAAGGCTGCCCTGAGAGGAGAAGGGACAGATCAGSAACGACGTGACTTTGGCCCGGGCAGTTGCAAAACCAATGTTTGCTTCAGGATCAGAGGGAAACCAGATTGTCCTGAGAGGGCAAGAGGGACGGTGGGGGTGTAATCATGTGTGTGGTAGAGTTTGTGTCCTGCTGGGGCTGCAGACATGTCTCTGCTCTGCACTAAGAGAAACCTRTCAGAACTTCTGACATGCAGTCTCTGCTAAAAAAACCTGTTGAAAACTCTGCAGGTAGAAAATGTCAAAGTCAAACCAAGCAAACACTGAGATGAATAAATGAGTAGCTACAACAGCCGATTTCCAAGTCCCTTACCCATCCCACTAGTRTTTATTTCCATAAGCATTGCTATGCCACAGCAGGTGGCCAGCTCTGGCGTGCCTTTGTTTTGCAGTCACCTACAAGTGGTAGTGGCATCTCCTTCTGGTGGTAGCTTAATAAACACAAGGGCAAATGTCCTTTACTGCTGACCTTTGTCCATTCACAGATTGGTTCCTGAATTGGGAAGCCAAAGAGGTGTAAAGGCTGGTCCAGGTGCACATGGCTACTGCCAAAATGTGCAGCAGCAGCAGCAGCAGCAGCAGCACTGTGTTCTGGGAGTTTGTAGGAGTGTGTGTCCTCTGGGCTGTGACTGAAGCTCACATCCTGCCTCAGATAGCACAGTTTGACACCTTCCCTTCCCCTTAAGAGCAGCTGAAGCCTGTTTGTCCCCAGGGTTGCTGGAGCATAACCAGCCCAGTGGCAGGGCTGTCCCTGCAGCTTGGGAAGGAGCACTTCAGACCAGCCACCATCTGACCCTGGCAAGGAGCCTGGGAGCACGTAAATAGGGCCAGGTTAATGAAAATGGGACTGGCCCCTTCAGGAGATCYGGTCCCTCCCCGAATTACTTAAACCTGGACTTTGTATCAACTGTTCCTAAAGAAAACAAAAAACCTCCGTGTTTCAGGGTACCCACCAGCCTTTGCCAACTGGGTTTTGGGAAAATAGCTCTTTAATTTTACAAAGTTTCTGGTGTTCTGCTGGCATCATCTCATGGACAAATGATTTTGTGGCCAAAGGCTRCTCCATTCCAAGCACTGTTCCTGTCCTCTGGTGGTGCTGTCAGCACGTAAATCCACACAAGCATGGCTGTTGTTTGGACACCTCTGTGCTCCTATCCCATCCYTACTCCATAGCCCTGTCATCCTACATCCTTAATATTTTAAAATATTAAGAAAATGGCCCTTYCCCTACAATTAGAACTGGTCAGGARGCAAACTCAAATCCAGAGAATAATTACAAGTTGATGAATATGATGTGAATCACAGCTTTCCAAGAGCTGTGGAGAGGAATCTTTAACCTTCAAAGGCACTACAGCCATGACTTTCCAGCATGGTATGGAGGGAGATTCACTTTAAAAGTCATGTCCTTTTTTTTGGCTTATCTTTCCTTCTTGCCTCAGTCTTTATTTCTGACAGATGTTTGGGAATTTGGCCATGTAAATAATCAAGCTCAGGGCATTAGGAAACCATTAAGGCACAAACACAAACTTTAATATGCTTTAATATGCAGGGCACAGTGTCCTGTTACTGTTTGTGCTGCTCCCAGGGAGTGTCTGCCATGGGGCTTTCTGCCCCTTTTCCGTCACTGATCCCAAATGTTGATGTGGTCAYACACAGCCCCCACGTCCTGAGGCTTCACTGCCTCCAGCTCCTCATTGTCTTCCTTTTCATTGTCCAGCTTGCCTAATATCCAGTCAAATTCAGGAATGCTAAATCTTAAAAGCTTGCTGGGCTTAGAAGTGCTTCTTTTTTTGCACTTATTTCCCTGGAAGAAGAGGAACAGCGCCGGGAGGGAAAAGGGTTTTCTGGAAACCTCGGGCTCCTTCAGTGGGCTTCACAGTGGCAGCACTCACTGCCMGGTGACAGGAGCTGAATCCCAAAGCTGCTCCAAGATTTTAAGGGATGTAGAGGGAATTGTGACAGAAAATCAGACACTGTCAATATGTTACTTCCATGTGGAGTCAGGTGTAGCTTGGAGGAAATGAGTTGGGCTCACGACTGCACTCCTGCTCGCTACAGAAATGAGCTGTGAGTGAGCAGCCCAAAGAGATTTTTAGTTTTATAAAAAGCAGAAGAATGTGTTCCTTCAGTAATTTCCCATTCATGCCATATGAGGTGCTGCTGCCAGATGCCCTGGGACACCAGAATCACAAAAGCATTCAGGAGGCAAACAGAAAAAATTTGCAGGATGGTCCATGAGGGAGTGAAGCAGAAATGTGTGCAACCTCTGGCTCAGGAAATCCCAAAGTCTTGGAGGGCTGGCAGCTCGGGGGTGTGACAGGGCAGAGATCACTCAGTGGGATGGCTCATGCCCTGCCTGTGGGGTGAGGGCTGGGCTTGTGGCTGCTCTGCTGGCCCCCTCCTGCCTCCCTGCCCCAATAAGGGCAGATCCAGGGCAAAACGAGCCCTTACTTGGGGGCATCTTCGGAAGTCAAAACGTGAAGGTAAATGGTTTTTTCTTTACTTCTCTCCTGCCTGTGGAAGTAAAGGGGAAAAGACAGATGATGCTCCTGGTGCCTAACAGCATGATCCATGAAATAATCCATATTCTTACATTCATTCAGCAAAGYTAGGTTTAATTGATATCTTGTCACTGGCAATTGTTCAATTATTCTGAAGAGCAGCAGAACAAGGATTAAATTGGAGACTTTCTGTGGCCTTATTGCATCTGTGCAGCTGATATCCCAGTGGTAACTTTAGAAACTTCAACTCTGGCATTTCCTACTGTAAAAACTCCTACTCCAAGTGGTTTCTAAAGTAACWTCCGGTGTGTGGTTGCATGTATGATTTTCCTAATGTTTCCTAGAGGCAAGCTCTCCCTGTTGTGGAGACATTGCTGTGCTACATTGCTATTTCTTTCTAGCCACATTAGGTCCTTTTTTTTACCACACCCAGCCTGTTACGAGGCCAAGTGTCTTTTGGCTGTGCAGGAGCTTCAGTAAATTCAAGCAACCCTTCTGGTGTTTGTGGAGCTCTGTCCTCTCCCTGGAGAGCTTCAGAAGCTACACTTGAGCCAAAAGGCAAAAGCATTGAAAGAACAGGACATCCCCTGCATTGCTCCCCAAATGTAAAACCACATCTCTGCCAGCTTTGTCCTTGTCAAGTGAGAGCATCTCTGGGACATCAGCAGTGCYCTCACTGATCAATGCTTTTCAGACAGCCCGTGGTACCACCTTCCACACCTTCTCTCAATGTCTGGCTCATACATAAGGTGTTTGTGGATTGCAGTCAGACCATACAGGAGAGCCCAGAGCTGACATTGCCCTCAGGGATGGGTCACCCACCAGCCACCYACTGTATTTATATGGGTACCACAAAACCCAACAGATCCCCAGATACGTGCAACAAATGGAGATTTTAAAGCAGATTTTGCAGATGTMAAGGTGAGCTGCTCTGCTCTAGAGGATGTTGCTTAGTGCCATACCTGTGAAGATTTTCAGCATCTTCGATGGTCTCAGGCAGAGCCCTTCCCTTCATTTCAGGGAGCAGCAAAACTAAGCCACTGTCGATTAGAACAATCCCAGCTGCAAGCACAGAACGAGGATCACAAAGGCAATGCCATGGTCATGCCCATGTTTGTTTAATTCCAAATCATTAATTAATGCCCCAATGGACAGACAATGCCTGCCCCAATGACAGAAAAAGGTCACTTCAGATAAGCACTTGGCTTTTTATCTCTGTGATTCTTATTTTTCAGAGTAATTGCTGACATTTCTGAGGTGCATTTGTGTCCTGGAAAGCTGTCCTGRGGCACAGACCCACAGGGAGCCTGGCTTCCTTGCTTTGGACACACAGTGCAATGAAACAGGTTTTGCCACTGTTTTTCCAGCTGGCATGGGATTGAGGCGRCACTGGCTAGCTGTCATCTCCATTTTTGCTAGACAGGACATTACTACCAGTTCACCTGGCCAGTTTCACCTTCTGATTAGTTTTAGACCCGTCCATGACCCAGCTGAAGGCAGATGRTTCATGCAGGCACACAGATTTGAATATGCACAGCAGCTGACATTCAAGGCAGTCGTATTTTAGGACAGCAACCTTAACATTAGGGCTGAAATGCTCCTTTACCACCCTAAATTGCCAGGCTAATTGGCCACCATGAGGAGGAGTGAAACATTTCTGCAGGGAGACAAGGCCAAGCTGCTGGGASCTCAGCTCAGGTAACCACACTGCCTGTCAGAGGGATGGAACCCAAAGTTATTCCTCCCTTGGGAAGGGCTCAGCAGGGGGAAGTCAAAGGACTATCCCTAAAGCGTGGAGTCCCTTCCACGGCAGAAGGGGCTAAAGGGTGACTTTGCTACCACTTCCARAYACCCRGATGGAACAGGCTAACCAAGCTGTRTCKTACACATGTACRCACAWRTTTATGCATCCCTGCATACWTTTTTTTAAAGACAGGAAATAAATCCCCTAAGTAATCCACCTCAGCTTTGGCCAACCCACCCATCTTGCAGCTCCCTTACCAAAGATGACCAGAGGCAGTTCGTGCCAGAGGTCTGCCAGTCTGTACACCAGGAAGGGCGTCACGATCCCGCCGAGGTCACACAGGGATGAGCAGACGAGGACTCCCAGGTTCCTGCAGCGCACATGCAAACMCACACGGACAKGGACACACATGGCACCAGCTCTGCCTGTGGGTGCCCTGGACAGCTCTGCACCCCAATGACCCGCAGGACACAAAGAGYTCACCCAGCCCTGCTGCCAATGCATCCCCAGCTGTGAGCCCATCCCTCAGGCTGTCACAAACACCCAGTGCTTTTATCTGCAGACTCACCTGAGAAATGTTGGATACAGCTCAGGATTCACCACGCATATGATTTCATAGCACATGGTAATTCCCATCCTGCCCAAGCAAGCTGCKGTCATTTTAAGCCAATAAAGAGCTGGAAAGACATTGGGCACATTGAGGTTGGAACACAAAAGTATAGTTTTCTTCTGCTCTTGCCATAAACCAGCTTTAAATATTTAATTTAAGGAAACAGTAGTTTGCTGTCCTGAAAGGTCAAGTGGACTGTGCATTATGATATTCTATTCCACTAAAAAAAAATTATAATGCAATTTTCTTTTGATTCAAGCAAATAACTGAGTCTTGAGACTTTGTTAGGTTGCTGTGACAGAGAGGAGAAATCAATGCTACAAAGTAGTTTGGGTTATTCTGTGCATTAACAAAAAGCTTATGCAGGACACCACTTGTTGCTCCCCAGTCACTTCATAAAGTGGGTTTTCATTGCCTGGGCACGTTGGGGTTTTTGTGTATAAAATTTTTCTGTAACATTTTGTGTGTTTGTTCTTGTACCCCCATTGAATTCACAATTGTGTGGCACTGTTGTGTCTGTAGTTTCAGTCTGCTTGTATTCCATACAACAAAAGGAAAGCAATTTCATTTGGTGGCCCTTAAGTGGCACACTGCTTTGAGACAATGGCCTTGGAGCAAGTGCTCAGCTAAACCAAAGCCAAGTGTCTGTCACCGTGGTTGTTTGGCATCCTGCATTCATGGCAGCAGCACTGAAGGCAGAAAGCACTTACTGTAACCAGACATTGTCCAAATGTGTGCGTGTGCCTAAACATTTTTCCTTTATAGAAACAGAAAATGTGGGACTTTTGGATGAAACCCCTGCATTTTRCATTAGAATACAAACGTTTGGCCAGATAAAACTGCGAACCTAACATGGCATCCTTCATGACCTAGCACCTGCAGKCTTACAATCTGATTTGATGCCATTTTGGAAATGCAATTCATCCCATTTCTCCAGCCCCTCATTAGCAGATATAAATGCTGCAGCTGGAACATAAATCAGCTTTAAACATAAATCAGTGCCGGTATTTGCACACACTGGGTCACAGTACTGATATAGGCCAAGATATCAAGGATTGTTTCCCTTTTCCAGGGCAACAACCAAGAGACAGGGAGAGCATTCCTTGGCAGGAGAAGCGTGCACAACTCACAGTGTGGGAGGAAGGCTGTGACGAGGCACGCAGCCCCTGTCACCACACCGGCTGCAGCCCAGGTGTAGCGACGGCCAACCCGATCCAGCGTCAGCAGGAGGATGAAGGCAGCTGGGAATTCCACCAGAGCAGAGTAGAGGAAATCCAGGTACATGTTCCCAGCGGCCATTCCCATGTGCATGATGAGCCCCTGGTAGAGGACAGAGCTGGTGAACCTGGACAGAGAAGAGGGAACAAATGGAGCCAACTCCCCTGGGAGAGAGTTTATGCAAAGGACTGAGATTTGCAGCTGGTCAGAAACAAAATAAGCTTAAATCAATGATGATGATTTTAAGGGCACCAAATCACAAACCTCCATTTGGGCTGAAAAAGCCWGCCCATCCTTACCAACTGTACATCAAAATGAACGTGTATTTTCTGATCTGAGGTGTCCTGACCAGGTCTACAAATGAAGGTTTCAACTTTTCTCCATCTTCATCTTCRGAGCTGAGATTCTGGGAACATAAGTGACAGGACAAGAGGCTACAGTGGGTGAGGGAGAAGGTGGTGGGCACTGCARTGAATATTTTCCTTTAGGCTGATGGGAGGATGAGGTTTTAATTTGCCAGTTAAGTAACTGAGAGTAAAACAACTTCTCTAGAGTACTTTGGATAAAGAAAATATGAAAATATATGCAGACAACCTTCATATCTGTTGTGACTGTGTATGGCATGAAGCAGCATTAAATAAAAGTAATGAATGGGCATGTTCTGGAATTTAAAGTGACGTGATTTCCCAAATATGCTCTGTGAGGTTTCTAGGCAGTAAAAGGGGGCTCACTTGCCTTTGCTTTAGGAACTGCGATGATTTCGACCACCAAACTGTTCCCTGCTCTAAACCAACACAATCTTTAATTCATAACATTATTTGTCTTGAAGATGGCACATATGCATCAAATGCAGAGCAGTCACCTGAAAAGAAAGAGGCAGCTTCTTCCTATTTCCCTTGGCAATGCGCTTAATAACTTCCATGGCTTTGTCATTCTGYTTCTGAGCTATGAGCCACCTGGGAGACTCAGGCAGACACCTGCAACACACATGAGCATGACAGCTACAGAAAAGGAAAATGCACATTAGTGGTACCTGGAAAACGAAAATGGAACTGAGTTGCTGAGGCTAGGAGCAAATGGAGCAAACGGTGCTTTGTGGATTCACGGGCGGAATTGAAYTGGCAGCGGAGTGAGCTGTGGCTGCCAGCAATTGCACTCTGATTTGAGCTCCACTTGAGCCTTAATTGATTTAATTTTTTTAAAGTCTAAACCCAGTTTATTATAGTTTGGAAACGTTTGTCTGAGATAAATTCTCTTGACAAGCTTTAGAAATAGCTAATAATCTGTGGCTGTAAAAAAGAACAGCTGTAAACCCCATCCTCATTTTCTACCACTTTAAAAATAGCCTTTCAAAGAAAGATCAGACATAAACCACATCCTAGTTCTGTTCCCTAATCTAGTTATTTTCCTAGGAGCATTTTTATCAATTGTTTATTAAAAAAAAGTATGCTGATTGCATAAAAAACCCCAAATAACCAAAACAAATTATAATCAATGACGAGAAAACTCCCTTCTCACAGCAGCTCAAGTAGGGGTCGAGAAATAGCGACTTATTATTTTGTGATGTGTGGCAAGGACTCCAAACACAGAAGCATCACACCATRTTGCAGGTAGCCCTTTGCTCTTAGGTGAGTCAGAGTAAACCTTTGGGCAGAGGTAATAGAAAAAAGCCAAATCTCATCCAATATCTTCTTGGGAATCCTATATGCAGCACTACAGCTGATCTTTATGGAGAGTTTTCATCTCTCAGCCACCATTCCTGATATTTTCAGTGTGGTGTGGCATTACTGGGAGCTGCAAGAGCAGGCACTTACCAGTAGTAGAGCAGGAGAAAGAAACTGGGCAGCGTGACCGCAAGCTGGAGCCACCTCCAGTGTGGAAGTGYATAAGCCAGGGCAGTGAGGATGAGGAGCCCCAGGGTGAAGGCAAGCTGGTAAGTGATGCCTGCTGCTCTCCGGTAGTCTGAGCCAACAAATTCTGCAACTGCAAAGACAAGACTTTGAGCAAAAATAGATTGGTTTGGAGAGCCTGGGGAACATAACTGCTGCCAACTGAGACCACGTGCAGCCCCTGTGCTTGGCTGTGTCCTGTCCTTGGGTGCTGCTTTCTTTAGCCCCCTCCTTCAAGCTAAGGACTAGATGGCAAAATGAAATAGATGTGGCTTGTTTGCCTCCATCTCCCTCCTCCCATATAGCTTGGGAACAGGGCCTCGCTACTTGCCAAGCAGGTGAAGCAGCTCAGCAAAGTCATTTTGGCAYCGAGGCTGTGAAACASAAGCGTTGTCTTTCACATCAGCGCYTGCTGCCTTTCCCRGAAAGGTGCTACACATCTTGACASTGTTTTCAATTTGTTTGTGCCTCTAGACCTTGCCCTTCATTTTGCCATGTGCTCGCCAGGTATGAATGTTTCCTAGTTTTCAGAGCTGCCTGCTAATTATTCCATTTATGTTTACAAGCCGGTGCAAGCCTAAGCAGCTGCATTTCAGTGAAGAGGGGCAGTTTGGCAGCAAAGAGCARTGTCACTGCCTGCTCTTGTCACACACACAGCGCTTTGACAATCAGAGAGCCACCCCTGCCACCCAGAAGGTGTGACTGKGAGCTGCATAACTGAGGACGTAGCCTGTGAGCCAGCCTCCCTTGCTGACCAGCCCCTGGAGCAGGCGGAACGTCGTTGTCCATCCATAGCTCGGTGCAAAGGCCATCAGGGCCCCGGACACGGYGCTGATCAGGACTGTGACCAGAAGGCACAGCTTGCGCCCAAACCTGCACAGGGGAAAAAAGACAAGAGAGAGGTTCAGCTCCTGGGARGGGAAGSTGGCAAACCAAGGGGYTGGAAGAGGCTGGAGAGGGTCTCTGCTCATTTTGAGTAGGAGTTTGTATCTGCTCTTCCCTTTGCAGTATTTTCCTTCTCAATGGAAACTCAGGGAATTCCCCCATCTTGTGTTTTCAGGTCATTGCTCATTTTTTTGGTTAATAACAGCCAATGAATTCAAGATTTCTCTGATTTGGCTCCCCAGCCCATCTTTTGAAGCTGCAATAGTTTTTAATGGGTATTTGTTTGCTAATTGTCATTTTTATTTATTTTCTTATCAACCTTGGCTGACTATGGAGCTCCTCTTAAATAGGGATTTTTATCCATCCCTGTTATTTGTCATTCCTTTTATCATCATGACTCACTGATAGTCAGGAACGGAGGGTTTCCAGTGGAAACAAGCTTACTGGAACTCTGGAAAGGCATTTGTTTTCTAGCTGAYAGAGATACATATTCAGAAGTATGAATTATAAAAGCCATTAAATTAGTCAATATCCACTAACAAAATAGCACAACAATAAGTGCCAGCCAAAATAAGAGCCTTTTGTTCTCTACAGCAACATCAGCAGATACCATCACTCAAACTTGCTCCTCTCATGAGCCTGACATSCAGACATTTTTGGCTTGCCTGAAAGTTCAGCCCAACAGAGCCTCATCATACCACATCTGAGACCTCTGGTTTTSCTTTTACCATTCTGGTTATGGTATTTTGTGTTGCTCTTGGGTGCTTGCAGTGTAGGAGCAGCAATGACCTGGGACAGGGTGGTGTGAGCAGAGTGAACACTCCTTAACACTCTGACATGAACGTGTTTTATCGGACAAGGATTTGTGTCCTACTCCCTCGTGTCTTTTCATACCTCTGCTTCACAATGAGCCTTTGTAAAAAGGTTCTTAGGTATTTTGACACACAGAGAAAGAGTATTTCGGATATCAATTTTGAGTTTGGAAGCTCTGGTTTTTATTGTCTCTCACCATCATACATTGGCAAGAAAAGCCTTTGAACATGATTACTTAATCCACCTCTGTGCTAGAAAGGGGATCTGGAGAGTGGTGCTTCTGATGCTCATGGAACCTGCTCACTGATATTTCATGTTCTGTTGTTCTGTTATGCTTGATGAGTGTACATCACCATCCAAGCCTCATTTCTGGCAAAAAGGATGGAATGCTTTAAAATTTACTAGTAGATTAGTCAGAAAACAAGCACTTGGACTTAAGGGAAAGAGAGGATGGGGGGAAGGGGCGACAAATGTTTCTGATTAAAAAAAAAAAAAACCCAAAACAACCCAAAGATCTTCCAAAATGCATGTGAAGGAAAGCTTAACTTGTCATAAGTCTGTCCACTTTTGTCCTTGAAATGAGACAGAGGACTGCATCCCAGGAGTGAAGACTGGATGTAGGATTTTTGTGGCAGTGCTCTAGTTATTGGTGTCTTTCACCAGATGTGGCCACCAAGCGTTACTTTAATAAATCACTATCTATTGAAGAGAATCCATCCAAGCACAGAGCTTATAAAAAAGCTGGTCTGGGTCACTGGCAGTAAGGCAGTGGCTTAGTGAGGACTGAAAAGCAGTCTGTCCAATCTGTGCATGGATGAGCTTCTTTCCAAGCAGATTTKCCTGCACAACCCAACTGATGGAGTGTTTGCCTGCACTGAAACAAGGGAGCAGGGAYCAAGGACACAGACACAGTCCCGTCCTAATTTTGGGACACTGCAGAAGTACTACAGGGGATGGACAGGCCCCTTCCCATAGACCTTCCCCCTTGGAGGGGTGGGACAGTGAAAAGAAGGGAACAATGGCAATATCTGTTCAACAGAGACAATCTTGGGGCCAGTCTTGGGAGAAAAAGGCTATTGAGAATACAAAGTAAAAAAAAAGAATTCAAGACAGGCAGGATTTACAGAAGGATTGTTCATCACTCCCTGTTACCTTCACATCTTCAAATTCCTCAGTCTCAGCCTCTCTTGCCATTTTACTAAAAATTTTGGTTAGCATGCAGAAGAAGATCAGCTACAAAACATTGAATTCATTCAGAGGCTAATGTAAAAAAAAATAATCCACTGGGCAGATATATGGCACAGTGATAATTGTAATGGAAAAGAGGAAATGAGGGACAGTAAGGACTGGAATCAGCCAAAACAGACTCAGCTGGGAAAAAGGAGGATCAAATAAAATTTAGGAAGAAAAAACTACTTCTCTTTCATCTCTCAGATGAGAAAAACTCCTATTTTGAAACTGATTTATGGCCATCTGGATACTGTTAAAATTAATGTGAAACAAATTTATCGAAAAGATGAGCAAATAGTTCTTGATACAGGAGTTAAAATTTCATCTTGGACTCTGAGATTGCCTTGAAGTTTGCACTCGAGAGAGAAAATAGTCTCTTCATTTATGTGAATTTCTCAGGGCTGTAAAAATGGAGCAATACCTTGGCATTTCTGTGGGTTCTTGGGTCACAACAGCCTTTGAAAGCAGACCCTTAGAAAGCACCATCCACCCGCCTTGTAAGTGACTCACAGACCTTTTCAATCAGGTTCTGGTTGCCTTAATTTTCTTCCCGAATTGAGAGTGTTGTTCACCAACATCAGGAAGCAGATAACCAGAGGAAATTGCTCATCCCATACCTGTCTCCACACCACCCACCTGTCTGCTACGTAGCCAATGCTGATGGAGCCAATGAAAAACCCAGCATTCACACAGGATTGGAAGAGRTCCAGCTTCCAGGAGTCCTCACACACCAGGTTAAACTGGAAGGGCAACCACAGTTAGCAGCACAGACACATTCCCCACAAACCAYGGCTGTTTGAGAAGGAAGGAAACCAATGGCATCAACTAGAAAACAGATTCCAGAAAAGAAACCCTCTAACCTCTTAAGCTGACATCTGCAGTGCTTCTTGTTTGGATTTTCTGAAACCTTGGAAAAAAGTTACACCCTGGAAAATGGTTCTGCAATGACACATGAGGAGAGTGAGAAAGGAAGGGAGACTCTGAAAGAACAAATATAAAAATTCAGAAAAATCTTGTCCTCTTGTCCCTACCCATCTGCTTGAAATTTGGAGGACACTTGGAGCACTGTTTCCTTCCCAGATGCCAAGACCTGTCTCAAACCATGCATTTCTGCATGAATTCAGTGCTGGGTGAGAGAGATGAAGGTGCTGCCATGAGCCCTGCTGGGGTGGAGCCAGGAGATGCCCATCCCACACCCCCTTAGCCCTGGCAAAAGGCCCAGGATTTGGCTGACTTTTCTCTGAAGTGAGTGGGGACTTGGGAGCTTGCTGCAGATTTACAATTAACAGGTTGTCAGGGAACACCCAACAAGGGGAGGAGGGCAAATTGACCATAACTTCCCTACTGCTGGAAATATTCGCTCAAGTGTAATTAGACTTCAGCCCAGAAAGCAGCATGAATGTATTTGGCTGCTTATTTAATCTTAGTTTCTAACTCAGACAAGTTTGCTGGGGCCATACCAAACAGCTCAGCTCAGTTTCCGTGGTGTGGAGAACAGCTGGAGGGCTCTTTTCTGCCCCAGCTCATCTGTCCCAAGAGAAAATGAGTGGACTTGCTTTGTAACAGTGATGATAGTGAAGCAAGGAAATGTGAATGCCCTGCCCACAGAAGCTGTGAAGTATCCAGCAATGCACTTTTTAAAGGTCAAGTTACACAAACATCTGCTAGGCATGGTTTTGGAATTGCTAATACAGATTTGGCAGTGGAGGGGAAGTAGAAGAGATCTGTTTTGAGGTCATTCYTGTACTTCAGGTCTCTACGTGGCTTTAAGACTGCGAGTACTAGTTTGCATAGTTTTTCAATGATTTATGAAATAAATACATAGTTCTCAATGCAAATTGAGATAAAAGAACACTGCTTTTGCTAAAGCATTATGTGAGAAATGTGGCCCTGTCCTCTGCTTCTTGTTCATTATGGATGARTATCTGGATTATCACCCAAAAGTGCAGCTCCTCAGTTTGGGCTATGGGGTGCTACCCTTAGTTTGGTGATGGAAATAATAATTATGAGAATARCAATGGATGACAAGATTGCAGCATTATGCTGCCAGGAAAACCAATAATTTCCCATTGTTTCTGTATATGAATCTTTGCTCTAAGTGCCTGGCAGGTTCTGATATTTACTGTTTACTAGCAGTCAGACTCTGACCGTACACCGAAAGCAAATTTTACTGCTCCAGCATATTCTATCTTTAAGCTGTGGAGACAGGAGTGATTTTTCCACACAAGCTATGTCTTACCTCGGTCACGAGAGAGCTYCCCGGAGTGTTGTAGACCCAGCCATCCCGGCAGGGAGCCAGGGGGACGCTGCTCCCAGTGCCCACCAGGCTGCCCAGGGGGTCAGTGCAGCTGATGCCCGTTGTGTTCCAGTCCACCTCGTACCTCCTGCAGCGGCTGTCGAAGCTGCCCCCGTGGCCATCCCACTGGGGAACCGTGTGATTCAGCTGCTCCTCCAGGCTCCAGCCACAGCGCTGGCTCAGCTCGGCCACCCCGGGGCTGTGGCAATGGTGCTCGGGGGTGAATCCCAGGAAAAAAATCCCCACGTAAATGGGAGCAAAGGCAGCAGAAAGCAGGCATAAGACAAAGAGGGCTTTCTTCTGAAAAARGTCAAATTCTCCMAYSTGCTCTAAAACGTCATCCAGGGTTGGCATCTTTGTGTGTCACAAATGATCAAAGTATCTAACTCAGTTGTTTTCTGGGGCTTTGGTCTTCTCTGCCCGCTTAAATAACAGCTGAGGTGTGTGCTTGAAACTCATAAACAAATAATTAATTAACTTTGTCAATTGTCAAGCCATGCATCACAACCTTTGTTTCTTAAATRAGCCTTTTCTAAACACACTTTGGCTCTTCTGTTTCACTTCTGCTGTTAATTTGTTTTATATATGATATATTTGAAATGCAAGATCTAATGTCTTAGATTATGGTCATTTCAGTCTGTCATTTCAGTCTGTCAGTGAGTCTGTCACCACGCAGTGTGACGCAGGTGGTAATTTCTCTGTCTGGTATTTTCAGGGGCCATAAATACTATGAAAGCAATAAAATCCTCTTCCTCGCATAGATATACAACTGAAAAACCTTCTACTTAAAATTACAGTCGACACAGATGACTTCTTTTATGCTATTTTGAGGGAACAGAAGACAGCATGATGGAGGAGGTTTAGTGCAGCTGAACATCAAAAGTGTGGATTTGGATAGAAAACATCTATGGGCAATGATTTCTTTCAGAAAAATTCTGCCTGAAAATATTCTGCTGTCTTTCTGTCATCTGCAAAAGTTTCCAAGCCAGACTAATGACTCTGTAGCTTGTTTAGTGCTTCTGAAGGGAACCTCAGAGTAGGCTGCTGTCCTTGGGTTAATTTTCCCCCGAGGAGCACTCAGTGACCTTTCTGAGTTTTATGAAGCACAAAACTAAACAATGAGGAGAACAGAGGTGATAAGTAATGTGATATTTTAAAGGGCTATTAAAAACAAGCACTCCTAAGTTACAATGACTGGCATCCCCAGCAAATGTCATGAATCACAAGAGGGACTACTCCTTTGCAACAAACATCTTTTGCAGATGGTCTTTAAGAAAAGACCAGATCTTTGGCTGTGTAAAACTGAACAGTTTAYGTACCTCTGCTCAGTCTRGTTTCRTTAGAAGCAGAGAATGGACTAYTCCCCCTGTTAAAGCTCAAGGAGYTCACTGCAYCAGCAGCTTYTAAACCTTGYACCCTCCTGCACTCAGACCASTCMGCTGTGCACATGTGCTTAACATGCAGTGCTTAACAGCTAAAGCCTGTCTCAGCCAAAACTGAATTAGTGCAACAAGAAGTTCATAAACTCTAGAAATCTGCTTTACTCCCTTTCCTGATTCTGCCTGCTGTAGTTTCATGCTGGAGAAAGCAAGAAAGACTGCTGCCAGTATGGTGGTCATGTGCCAGTTATGCTGACAGAAGGTTGTATCTCTGATTTTGTGGCAGATTAATGTTATTTCTTCTGGAAAACCTCCTCTGTCATTTGAGTATTTTTTTTATCACCAAGAAGCAAAGTGCTGTCCTACAGTGGGAGTGACCRCTGTCACACATGAGTAGCTTCACATATTGCATGATGTCCAGAGGGTTTTGTCATCCAAGCTGCCCTTCAATAATCTTGACTAGAGTCTCTCCTGTGTATGATCCCTTCAGTTTTTGGGGAAAAACTCAGTTTTTTCATCCCTCCAGCCTACCCTGTTAATTAGCACAAATGCAGCACAATCAGCATATAACAGGTAATTCAGCCAGATGACAAAAGTGAAGAAAGCTGGAGCAGCTCTGTGAGCAGAGGCTGTCTGTGCCCTTGACAGAAGACCCATATCAATCTGCAGTGGCAGGGTCATGAAACAGTRTCAGGTGTGACAGGATTACTGGGTGTAATCAGTAATCCCTTCAGTCTGCACTGGTGAAGCATTACCAGGACTGCTTTGAAACACATCAGCCTTCAAAAGCTGGGGGAAACGTTGCTGTACTCTGACCTTCCTGAGCTTTAGGTGTAGGCTCTGAGGTTTGTGAAATGTGAGCAGAGCCAAGCCTACCACACTCCTGTAGAAAATTRCAGATAAAGGGCATAGTGAAAATGATACGACATGTAACTGTTGGCTGCCAAACAATAGCCCCAATTCAAAGATCTGAAGGCATCTTCTCATGAAATCACTCAAGAAACTGAGGCAGAGAGATCTAGCAGGCTAGCTCTTYAGAGAAACTGGTTTTCAGAGCTTTGAGAATTTAGGCTAAAATTATTTGCTAGAGGTGTCTTAGACAGACTTTTCCATTCAGATGCTTCCTGATGTGTTGTCCCACACACCTTCTTGCATGAATAAGCATTTCTGCAYTGATTTCCTTCTAGTGAGTCATTCTTTCATCCTAGCCATTTCGTGATGATTTTGGTTCAGTACTTACCTGTGTATTTGGATTTTGTCAGAGCTCTGTTTCCTGTGAATATATCCAGAACAGGGAGCCCTGAGCATGCTGTCTGTCATAATCTCATSCTACCACGTACCTGAGCAGGACAAGTGCTGAGCTCACTGAGGTGGGGCTGACTGCAGGTGCCAGACAACACCAGAGCTCTCGTGAATCCTGTGGAGAGAAGGGTGCCCGTCGAAAAACATTCTAGCAAATCTGGACTGCCAAAGAAACTGGGACAGTACTTGGGGTCATGGATCTCTGCTCTTGAGGTCAATGCTGAGGGCTGGATATTTAAGAGCTGACTGTAGAGGGAGCCTGTGCACTTTTTTTTTTAGGCTGCTCGAGTCATTGAAAAAAAGCTCACGTTTGCACTTGATATTTATTTGCACCATGAGAACTTATTTTATAACTGAGAAAAACARAGTGTACTTTGTGGTTGGCTCATATGCTACTAACACATTTTTCTTAGATGATAATCACACTSTATTTGGCAAACCCCTCTAGTTTAYCATTACCTGCATCTAGATCCAAAAGTCACAGCTTGAGCTAATTTCTTCCTTGAACATTAATTGCCACTTAGTATTGTGCAACCTGGGAATATCTTCCTTGGTGACAAAGACAGCTCAGTGCACAGTTCTCACTCCTTGGCATTTGCCGTGGCACAGAGCATGGCGTGTTCATGGAGTTTGTCCTCTGAAGGTTTCATGTCTGCAGTCATGAGCTGGCTTTTGCCAACCAAGAGCAGGAGCACTGCTGACAGATCTACCGCTGGCATTTGGCCCCATGGGGTGCTAGGGCGCTGTGTGAGCAGCTCTTTGGCCCAGGATGAGGATGCTTCCATTGCCAAGGGAAAGGGAATTGGCCCTGGGGCAGCCTGGCTTGCTGTCAGCCTGTGCACTGGTCCCTAGGGTCTTGTTGCTTTGATCTGACTTCCCAAGGAGATGGCAAGGTCACCCCATGGTGTGCTTGGGGTTTGTAGAGCYGTTCTTATCACCTTATCGAAGGGCGCACTGATAACAGGTTCACCAAAGTGAGCACAGGAGTCCAGGCAGCCCTGTGATCACCAGCACAGAGCCTGAAGGGTGTGCTGGGCACTTCAGGAAAAACACACTGGCTTCTTGAAATTCTCTAATCAGAGCATTTTCCCAAGCCGATCTACACATCCACTTCACACGACTCCTCCAAGAGCTGTCTGGCAGAGGTAACTACATATGTCAGCAAAGGCAAGGATGGGGCTGGCCAGACCCAGTCCTGGCTCTGGGATGGTGCAGCACAGGCACAGCACACGCCATCCGCAGTTATCCCTGTGCCTGATGCCACAGCCACCTGGACTGGGAAGCCCATGGCTCCCAGAGCTTCACCTTCCTATTGAGCAGCTCTGTGTGACTGCRAAGAACAAGCCCCATCCCCAAGGGGCTCACAGTCCAAGTCCCAGGTTTGTTATTCCTTTTGCGTGGCTGAGCTGCCGATACCTGCTTTAAAGGCAGCAGGACCTGTGTGGGACAAGCAGTGCAAACAGTGTGAGCATTGYAAGGCTGATCCTACTCAGAGGACTCGACAAACAGCCGAGGGTGGGTGAACTGGGGACTGAGGCTGTGTCATAACTTACATTTCTGCTGGGGGTGAAGGTGGGCTGTGCTGTCACATCCTGGGTAAATGTGCCAAATTTCCTATTTCACTGTTCTTAGCCTGGGCATGGTGACTGCTGAGTTGATTCAAACACATCGACTCCTTCTGTCCCACCTGTAAATGCTTCTTTTCAACCAGCAGCTCTGTGGGAGTGGGAGCTGCTTTGTGCTTTGGTAAGAACAAAGGGGCAAGTTAAGCAGGTTTCATGTGAAGCACAGCTCAAAAACAACTCGTGAATTCAAAAGGCAAAAAGGAAAAAAAGACACAGAAGAAAGCAAACTAGCAAGTAACAAGCAGGTTTGCAGTTTGGAACTGSCCCTTTTCCAAGGCTTTAATAAGCAGTAAATTGCAAGCATTTAATTTTTCAGTAAGGCCCTGGGAGTGTGATTGCTTAACAAGTTCCTAGATTACACACATCTAACATGCACTTGTGCTGTGCTCAGAGAGGGTGTCGCAGCTGCACAGTGGTGTGGGGCATGGGGCCATCCCTGCCACCTCACCAGGCTCACAGCACCTGCAAATTGGTGGCAGGGGCTGAGGCTGTCCTGCCTGCAGGGATCAGAGCAGGACTGTCCCCYTCCCATCTCTGCAGGTCTCTGCTCCCAGTACTGCTGCTCTGAGCAGCCTGGGAGGAGAGGGAAGGTGTCAATGGAGCAGCATATCCCATCACTATTTCCAGCCTCAGGGAGCTCCAGATCCCTGCTTTCTGGAGCTTTCTGGAGCTCTGTCGTGGCCCACACCTTTCTCCACCTCCATGGAGGTTACAGCAGCTATCCGGGGGTGTCCCACTGGGAGGGGGACAAAGGGGTGCTTCTCTGAGGGGTGGATGGCTCTGTGAAGAAGATGATGACACTCTGTCTCATCAGACAAGACTGCTCTGGGGCAAAGTGTYCTGGCCACAGGAAAATGGACAGAAACAGGAGGACGTGAGGAGAGACTGCATTTGTCCTTCGAGATCGATTTCTCCCCTTCAGAGTTCCCTAGCTCATCTCTCTGCCCTGCCTTGATCTATGGCCGACCCCTCTGACTCCTCTTGCTGCCCCTGTTTTTGGCCAAATACATTCAGAAATCCTGTTTGATCCTTGAGGCAGCAAAATACC